CACACACACTCACTCACTCACTCACTCACTCACACACACACTCACACGCACACACGCTCGCTCACTCGCTCGCACGCACGCACGCACGCTCGCACGCACGCTCGCACGCTCACACAAACGCTCACACAAACGCTCACACAAACGCTCACTCACGCACTCACGCACACACGCTCACACGCTCACACGCTCACACGCTCTCACACACACACACACACACTCTCACACACACACTTTTTTTTTTATGTATTTATTTATATACAAATTTGTACTGTTGTGCACACACATAAAATTTCTTTATATTTAATTTAAATGTATCAATATTTATATACCAAATAAATAAAAGTGCAGATAAATTTAAACTAAATATACATTTTATAATTGTTTTTTTATTTATGTATTTATTTATATACAAATTTGCACTGTTGTGCACACACATAAAATGTTTTTGTATTTAATTTAAATGTACTGTATCTATATTTATACACCAAATAAATAAATGTACAATTTACAAGTATGTGTGTATAATTTATTACCAACACACGTATATATATATATATATATATATATATCATATATATATATATATATATCATTTTTTTTACAGTAAATAAAGCTATATTATGATATATGCCATTACTGTGCTATAAAATTAACAGTCCTGTTTCATAACAAGCTTCCTCTTATCAGACATCGGTGTCTGCTGTCACTTACAGAAGTGATGAGAAAACATCAAATGTGGATCAGCTGATCCTGAGCTCATCTGACATGAGGAACTAGCAGTTAGTTTGATCTCACTAAACAGAAGACCAACAAAGGCGAATCTAACCAAGTACAGAAAAACTCCCAACTCTGATATTATGCAGAGGCTCCCCACGAGTCTCGTCCTTAAATCACAATCTGAGCGCTCTGCTAATATTAGATCACAAACTTTAAACATATAAACATATGCATATATAAGTACACACAAACACTATACACTTCTATGATTATACACACACACACACACACACACACTCTCTCACACACACACACACA